TCTTTCCCCGGAAAGTAAGGTAGGTCTGATTTTTTCAAGCTAGCAACACACCTGTTGCTAGCTCGCTCCCTCACTATCGACACCACGGTAGCGAGGAAGCTTTTTCTTTTCTCTTCCCCACGGAGGAGGAAAGGATTAAAGGAGCATACTGTCACACCAGTCAGTATTCTCCGGGAATAAAAGACCCACACCTGTCCTTTTCTCCGGATTAAGGACAGGGTGGTAACACCTTTTTTCTCCCAACTTACCTGTTGAGAGCGGGTCCTCTCCACGCCACGAGGCGAACAAGATGGACACCTCTCTCCCTCACACCAGAGGAGTCAGGGACTCGGTGGCTCGACTCTGCGGCTGCGGGTTGAAGATCTCGGGCACAGACACACACCAGGTCTGCTCGTCCTGCCTCGGGCTGGAACATGCCCGAGGCACTATCGACAACCCCGGCTCGTGCGGACATTGTGTCTGCTTCACCGTGAAGAGCCGCCGCCAACGGCTAGCACGACAAGCTAGCCTGTCGGAGCAGGACCCCCCATGTCCACTGACCTGCCGGCCGGCAGTCAAGACGCGGGAGCGTCCGCCGCAGAGAGTGAACCCCTCTCCGTGTCGGTCTGGGGCTCATTATCTGCGATGGCTGCAGAACCGGAACGGCAACCGGTGACGGCAAGACACGCGGGAACGGGACCCCACGCTTTACCGAGCTGGGGCTCCCGGTTAGACCTCACCATGGTCTCACCCGCGGAGGATGTCCTCGAGCTGGACTACGATGAGGACGAAGAGGACGCCTCGGTGTTCCTCCTGTCCGAGTCGGATGAACATGAAGAGGACATCTTCATGTCATCGGCTCAGGCTGCAAAGCCTGGAGCGAGGGTTGCTCTCCCGGGCGATAGCACACCAGCTTCGCCCTGTCTGAGCATGGACCTGCAGGCCGTGTGTAAATGCACCACGGCCAGACTCGACATCCCGTGGCCTGAAATGGCCAAGGAGACCTCCAGGTCCCGCTCCGAAGGGAAATATTTTCCCCAAGCAGCGCGGACGAAGAGGCAACTCCTTCCGGTCTTCCCGGAGATGTTGGATGAGGTGTCGGTCTCGTGCCTCCTCCCTAGACTGTGACGGAATGGAGAAGCTCGGCCTGCTCCGCATACCGCCCATGGAACCGCTGGTAGCGGCCCACCTCCTACCGAGGATGGGCCCATCACCAAGCAGGAACCCCACGCTGCCAGCAAAGTCGGACCGATTTCAGTCGACAATGACTGAACGGTCCTACAAAGCCACAGCGTTGTCCGCCAGGGCCCTGAATGTGTCCTCGCTGCTAACCGCTTACCAAGCGGAGCTCTGCGAGGACCTATCGGGTGACCCGGTGGCAGCCACTCTGGACGAGATGGCAGCGGTCATGGACATTTGTCTCCGTGTCCAACGCTGCGCCGTCCAGGCCACGGGCAAGGCAATGGGGATCATGGTGGTGCAGGAAAGAGTGAGATGGCTCAACCTCACCAACCTCCCAGACCGGGAAAAGGAGGATGTGCTGGATATGCCCATCGTTCCCGAGGGAATTTTCGGCTCCGCTCTCGCCTCCATGCAAAGGAGGTGTGAGTCGAAAAAGAAGGAGGACGAGGCACTCCACCTCTGCCTCCCTCGAAGGGTCCATCCGCTGCCTTCGCAGCAGCAGTCCTTCGCCCAAGCTGCCTCGAACCCTGCTCGGTTTAAAACACCGAAGACGCAGAGGTCGCAGCCCGCCCCGAGTCCCCAGCCCAGGCTGGAGACGAGGGCGAGCTGGCCTAGAAAATCTCCGGTTCCGGCTGCAGCTCAGGCGCAGCCAACCCAGAATTTCGGCCAGCAGTCGAGGAAGAAGAAGCGAGCGGCGTGACAGCCCCTCCTTCTCCCCTCCGTAACAGAGCTGGAAGTCCACGGTTCCCCAGCTCTAAATATGTTCCCGCCGCCTCGAGAGATGCCTCAACACCATCCTCAAGTCCGCACAAACACATGTCACACATTTGTTGATTTTTCTGTCATAAAACATTTGCCGCTGATGCATCCAGGCTTCAGGCCGAGGGCGCAGCTCAAAAAAATGAAAAGAAAAACAATAAAACCAATAAACAGCCCGTCAACTGTTCCCCTTCTGAGAGCAGCTACGGCATCTCTCAAAAGGCGGATTACAGTGCCGCATGCGCAGTGCCGGCTGGGGCTTTAAAGGCACCACCATCACGCGCATGCGCAGTGCCGGCTGGGGTTGTGAAGGCACCACCGTCATGCGCAGAGTCGGTGGGTATTGTCGAAAAGGGGCACCACTGTGTTCAGACACTAGAGGGCCCCATAACACAACAAATAGAGACTCAGAGGGGAAGAGACGTGACATCTCCACTGGCTCTAAGGAGCATGCAGTGGAAGATGCTCACATCATCTGCTTGGGTTTTCAAGACAGTAACACGGGGCTACAGACTCCAATTCGCTGTCACCCCCCCTCGCTTCTCGGGCATTCTGCATTCGCAGGCCCGAGGAGAGTCAGCCCATATTCTGGAGAGAGAGATTCTCTCACTCCTAGAAAAGAGGGCTATATCTATTGTACCCGCCGAGCAGAGTCAGGGCGGCTTCTATTCCAAGTACTTCCTCGTTCCCAAACGGGAAGGGAACGGAATTCGGCCAATACTTGATTTGAGGGCTCTGAACACTCTTAAAACTACTGGGTTAAAAAATAACCCAATCATAACCCAGCTGCTGAGTCACTATAGGACAGAACACACGCTGGGTTGTCTTAACCCATATGCTGGGCTGGATCATTTTAACCCATGTGCGGGGTTGTTTATTTGACCCAAGCTAGTGATTGAAATTAACTACATCACTGGGTTAAATAAATATAAACCATACATTGGGTTGTTTATTTGACCCAAGCTAGTGATTGAAATTAACTATATCACTGGGTTAAATTAATATAAACCATACATTGGGTTGTTCATTTGACCCAAGCTATTGATTGAAATTAACTATATTGTTGGGCTAAATAGGATATAATAATAATGTATAATAGTGTAATGAATTATCTCCAAACACACCGTATACTGTATATATATACAAATGCATTTATTGATAATTTGAACAGCTTTGGCAAATCGCCAACATTCCATTTCCACTATAAAAGAACAATGCATTTTAGCACAATACAAATTCAATATATTTAACTCTTAAATAAATAAAAACACCTTAAAAACAGTGCTAGGGCCTTGAGAAATATCTGTGTGTATTTTAACCATCACTTTTGAGTGAACACAATTTTCAGGAACAGTTCTGCGTATTAATTTAACACATGGACCATAAAGACCCAATACATATAAAAGTATAAAACAACATCTACGAACAGTCCTTCAACTTGAAGCTGAACAGTAACAAATCTGTCAATGAACACAACAGAACACAGATGTAAAGCGGCAGGATGTAAACAGAGGAGAACAGTGTGTGTGTGTGTGATTGTTAAAGTGCAACTTTGTTGGTTGGATTAAACTGCCAAAAGCTTTTTCAGGCTCAATACCCTGGGCTTCAAGTTCCCCTCAACACTTTCTGGGTGAAGTCGAAAGTGTTGGCCAAGTCTTTTGGGTAGCTCAGATGCAGGGCAACGGTCAGTGCAAAAAGCAGGATGAATGCGTCAGCCAGTGTGGGGAGTTCCATAACTCTGTTACCCTCAATGACAACAGTGATCCTCTCTGGGCAGAAGAGCGTGGTGTCTGTTGACCTGGCACTGATCATGAGAAGTCCGACCGCGATGCCCTCTGTGTCTGGATCATCAGACTGCACCACCTGATGACAAGAACAGATAAACGTTACCCAAATTGCCTCTCTCAGAAATGTGTTTTCTGAAAAATACATCAGTGACATATCACATCAAATAACCGTATGTTTTGTGCATAATGTGGGTTTAAGGAAACGCCTATTAGCATTGCACAACATAATGTTACAACACCAGAAACGTCAGCCTCCAAAATAACCAATCAGTTGACATAAATGCTTTCAACAAAAATCATGTATAACCTTCATAAGGGTAGGATTTATTTTATCATTGTATTAGACAGTTACTATTAGCTAGTTGTACCTAATAAACTGGCAACTGAATATATATTTACAGTATAATCTCTCCCTACTACACATACAAAAAAATATGGGGAACACTAGAGATTATTTTGTATTGAACACTGATGCTGCAGGAAAGAAAGCCCTCTCTTGATTGTGTATTTTATTAAATCACCTGAGCCCACTTTATACACGCTTAATTTCAAATAAATCCTTAAGTAGAAATAATATTCAACACCTCTGAAGTGTTGAAGTAAAGGGAGATTATGTTCAACATGTCCATTGTGTACCTTACAATAATTACAATTCTTATGGCAATATTCAAATCTTGGAACTAGAACCTGAATGGGATGTGAGCAAAACAAGAGATAATGTTTGATTAACAACACCTGAGTGACAGAATCAAGCTTTGATGACACCAGGACAGTTCATACTTTTTCAAACTAAATCTATCATTTATTATAATGTTTTCACTATAAAAATTCAAATAATTGTCTACCTGCAATAGAGCTCCTGAAACAATGTAACAAGATAAACTATATTTGTGGATGATCTGTCACATACATTCAAAACAGTTATTATGCTGACTTACATGCCACAGCCTCAGAAACGTGGAGACATCTTCATGCAGATATTCAGGCAGACCACGGAGGACAGCAGCACGTCGGACATGGACGTTAGCTTGCTCCTTGAGTGTGAGAACATATATTCTTTTTACTTTGGATGCTAAACAGTATAACCACACAACAATTGATATCACAAGAAAGGGCTCTTCCATGACTGAAGAGATCAACATTTTGACAAAGATAATCCACTCTAGTATGAGAATAAAACACCAAGAGGCATAACCGACTCACCTGGAGGTCATAGGAGGCGAATAGCTGATCCAGAAGTTCAGTTTCCTTTCCTTGCCGCCTTCTTCCTGAACAGGCTCTGAAGATGGAGGACCAACTCCGCATAGAAGTGGTTCTTCAGGTTGAGGTTTGTTATCCTGTGAAACTCTGCCAAAATATAAAATGACTATTTAATTCACAGTACAATGTATATGTGGACTGAAGGAAGCAGAGATAAACAGAAACATAACATGCTAAATCTGAGTAAACATGTCAAAGGGACACAAAATAATTATATAGTTGTAATAAATAAAATATTTTCACCTGTGACTCCATTTTCAAGGCAGGCCAGCGTTCCAGGATCTCTCCAACAGGTAGCTCATCATTGATGATCTCATTGCGCCGCAGGGCAAAGGTAGTCTGCATTAACTTTTAAATCAAGGGAATAATAATGTTATAATGTTCAAGTAACTCTGCCCTTGTATCAAAAACAGCAGCACAAAGTTTGCATCTCCAAGCCATTGGAAAACGTAACAATATTCACAGGCACCCTACAAACGGCGGCGTGCGTTGACGCTTGCCTGCGGGCATGTCTGAAGCTAGACCAACAACCAATCACATGAAAGCTACACTTTGCTCCCACAATGCAGTTCGGCTAAGCGTGATGTCACCCCATTCAAAGTGAATGGGCAGAAGTGTCAACGCACGCCGCCATGTCACTCCATTCACTTTGAATGGAGTGACTTCACGCTTTGCCAAACTGCATTGTGACAATCAAATCATATGCCAGTACAAGCTCTAGCCAATCAAACCGCGTGCTTGTGTGTCCGGGGCGGGATATTCATGTAATTGGTTGTTGGTCGAGCTTCAGACAAGCCCGCCGCCGTGTGTGTAGGGGCCGTAAGCATGCCACAGTTGCGCCGCTGCAAGGCTCCACTCGCACCCCCCCCAGCGCGTCACAGTTTCTCCACTGTGAGGCTTACCAGATTGAAGAAGCCATATATCTGCCAGTTGCGTCAGTTTCCTTAAGAGAAAAAACATTAAAGGTTAGCTGGGTTGCAAAGTTTTCACAAAATGAGAAACACTATTTTCGAACCTAAAATGGCGGCAGGCGGCGCGCTTTTCTTCTTTTTTGTTACAGCATGCATGTATGTGCGTGTTTTATTAACTTAGAGGCATATAAATTAATACAACGAGGATTTACGTTCATTTTAATCCACTAACGTTGTACCATAACCGTGCGTTCTGCATGTTTTTAAAAGCAAGCTAACTTGAAACACTAGACTATTAATCTGTTAAATCCGGCAGCCCCCGGTACCGAGGGCTTCTTGTTCACGAAACTTTGTCTCAGGGGCTTCTTAACATTTAAAAACCTATTAATGTGTCTGTTTAGAGTCGGAGAGGTCCTGATAATTTATTCCGGTAAATTACTCTGACCTACTAATTGACCTGACCGAAGTTATTGAGTCTATGTAAGGTTGCTGCTTGGCTCAGATCCACCAACGTCAGCAAGATCTCACCTCTATAACTCCCCGAAGAACCTAGGTTCAATTAACTGCTGTTTCAATTCAGACAACTCTTTTTTAATCTGTTTAAGGGATCCCGAAGGATTTTGATATCAGTAAATGGAGTGTGCTCCTACCTAAGTGTGTGTGGCAGGGTGCAATATTACCTTTGAAGCAGGAGAGGAGTGCACAGGTTGTCTTTTAAATTATCCCAGTCCAACAGGTGGGATCAGTTTATTTGAAGAAAAATAGGTCCAAACTAATACAGGGTTTTTACCTTCTCTCTTTACAACATTATAATCATACTAAAAAAATGGTGCTGTGATCATGTTCAAATGAAACTTTCATTCACAGTCTTACATTTATTACCAAAATGTTTAATTTCAACTGCCCAATTCAGTTGTCATTTTAAAATCTCCCGATAGAATTTAGAGGTATTTCCTCGTAAAAAGACCGGTGTCAATAAAAAGCGCATTCAACTTTTCATTCACCAAATCAATTCACATCAGTTTCATACCGTTTGTCCGACACAGATGGTGGGTACTAACATTCAAAAACACACACCTATCTCCCGCAGGTATTTCGGAGGAAGATCCTCACGGTGGCGGTTCCTAATCACAACCACACTCCTATCCGACACAGATGGCGGGTACTAACATCCACAAACACATACCTATCTCCCGCAGGTATTTCGGAGGAAGATCCTCACGGTGGCGGTTCCTAATCACAACCACATCTCACAACCATGTCTCCCATCAAGTCATTCCACTCAGCATTCCAACCAAGAAATTCACTCAGCATTCAAAGAAATTCACTCAGCCTTTCAACCAACAAATATCAGAGATATTCACCAAGTTTGAGAGAACATTACCGAGAGCTATTAACCCAGCTCTGAAGGACACAGCCTACCGGGAGAGAGTCTACCAGGGGTTCCCCCCCCTCTCTCTCTCGCTCTCTCAAAAAACCAGTCTCTTTATGCTCAAAAAACCGGATCCAAACCCCCAAAAAAAAAACTCCTCCTCTACACCCAATTTGTGGAAAACTGGGCATGGCCTCTAATGTACAAGGCTGAACATGACCCGACATGTTCCATAGCTTATTGCATAAGACACACCTTCCCATGTTAGTGTAAAAAGGACATGACCTCTTTAGGCCTCTAATGTGTTTCTCCTTAAGCTTGGAGCCCCCCTCCCTGTGAACTGCTGCCAGAGGAGAGGGAGAAAACGGCCTATCTCTTATCCGAAACACCCATAACTCTTTTTAGGCTGTACACTCAACTTAACAAACCACTTGGTTTTGTTTATACTGTGACTATAGAAAAACCTAAAATATGAAGTATTTTTCATTGTGGGTTATACAAAAATATAATTGATTATATTTGATTATAACTAACTTTCGTTTTAAGTATTAAACATACTATGAAAACTCACAACACCCTCTTTTCAAAACGCAAAGTTATCAAATAGCAACAGAAAAAATTGTAAGCATACATAGGCTACATATTCAAAAACCGTCAAGAAGCATTCTCATTATGGGTTTATACAAGAATATGATTGATCATATATGATTTATAATTAACTTTCGTTTTTAAGTATTCACTTCATACTATGATCTCAACACCCTCTCTTCAAAACGCAAAGTTATCAAATAGCAACAGATAAAATCGTAAAAACACATACATATTACATCCGTAAAACTCCAAGCATCAATATCATGAAAAGTTCTTCAGTATGTGTAATCAGGACGACCTTTTGATGAACCTGGTGTGAAAAAACACCGAAAACATGGTACCTCACTGGAATGTTCTCGAGCGAGGGGCCCATCTGTTGTTCCAGTGTAGACTCCTAAATCCATGTTGCTATCTGATGTAAATCCTTGACCCTGACCATGGAGGGGTTGCAGTTTTTCGCTGGACGACATCTCCAAACGAAAGGCCAGATAACTCGGTCGACATTTGTTATGGATTTTTTAGACCTCGTCAACTCATGACTTTGTGACAAGGTCAATGAGTCCCCACACAATGATAGCACAAACGAGGAACCAGAGGCATATGAAACAGCTTAGCTGGCACTCGCTCATGACATCCTGTGTGTGCAGTGTGAGATTAGGTGTATGTGGTGCCAGTGTGGTGCTGGTAGTGACTAGGACACGTCACTTGTTGTCGTATTCCATTGGTGACTAGGACACATCACTTGTTGTCGTCTGTTTATACCGTCTCTCCTGGCCTGTGATTACGACCTTGCAGTGGTTGACATGGACCCACGTGGCTCTCTCGGTGACCTTGACCGCTGTCTGGGTGATGAGGAGCACCTGGTAGGGAACTTACCAACGGTTGGATTTCCAGCTCTTTCTCCGGAAGTCCTTGACCAGCACAAAGTCGCCGGGTTGGAGATGGTGAAGTGGACCAATAGCAGGGGGTAGGTAGGGTTGCTGCTACCTGGCGTCTGATATCTGACCATGCAGTTATCAGGTAGTCGTCATCCTTTTCTGGGAAATCCACTGCGATCTGAGTGGCTCAGCGGGTAGAGATGCAGCCTGTCCCACAGAGCTGGAAGAAACTTCATCCTCCCCTAGCAGGGGTACAGGTGACTCAGCCGCTGATCCATGCTGCACAGGTTTCCTGGGTCCAGGACGTGGCTTCACTTGAGGCACTGTGACTGAAGTTTCCCCGCTAGGCAGGTTCAAATCCTCTTGGTAGATTGCTGAGGTATTAATCTCAACAATATAGCTAAAATCAAGTATAAATCATTTCTCTGATTCATAAAAAGTTGTTTCAGTTAAAATAAAAACATCCCCAAGGGTTTTCTCAAGGGGGTCATGTATTCCATATTGCTCTGGAATTTGTATATACAGCAAGGTGATTGTTTCTCCTCTTACTCAGTTGGCCTCTAATGGCAGAAAGCACTGGGCCATAATTTACTCTTATCAGTTTAACGACCTGACAGCCCTACATCTCCATGCTGTGTGAAAACCAGCAAAAAAGAAGGAGAGATGTGCTCAAAAAATCAAATTTCAATGAATACTCTTTTAGGGTGTAAGCGTATAACAATTAAAATAACTGAAAAGAAAACTAATAGTGTAAAGTTAAAAAACAATGAGAAAAATAATATAAAGGTTATTTTCCATTTCCTCTTTGATACTGAGGTATTCTTCATTCAAGCTCTAATGATCCATATGCTAATAGACAGAGTTTCGTCTTGCCATTTTTCTTTGCATAATTCACTAAAGATTCTAACAGTTCTACTGCTAAATCCTTTGTATTTGAGCTATTGCTTGTTACTCAGATTTAAATTCCCTCTTTTGCTCTATCGAATATCCCTTGGTACAGAATTTACCAAGACAAATTCTAACTTATTGCGGGAAGATCCCACAAAAAGCCATCCTCTCCTGTGGAAGAAGCACAGTAACTGCCACGTGTGTGTGCAAAACATGTCATGTGATGTGAGACTAATAGCATCAACAGTGGATGGGTAGGCCGCAGTCATATTCCTATCTGGATTCTAAACTCAGTTGGCTCGGGTGAACCGGTCCTCTCTTCTGGAGTGAAACTACTTTCCCAGAAATTGACTTCACTGTATCCAAACCTTCTGATTTAGTTTTAAGCTAACCCTTCTCTGGACTTCGCCCCTTTCTGGTCACCCATACACGATTTCTGAATTTAAACGGAAAAGGTGTGATAGTTAGATATGACCTGACCTTTGCCCTAGGTAGCTTTTCCATACATATAGGAATATATTCAGCCTTGTCAAATTGATTGGAATGTCCCAATTTGTTTTGCAATTTTTTTTATACTCCACTCTTTGGCTGCTCTAACGCCTGATACTTCTATGGTAAAGACCAGATAGGTGTGATTCCCTTTATCCTGCAAGGGTGACAAAACTTTCTCATTTTTAAAGTGAGTGACATTATCCATTCCTATTTTCTCAGTTTTAGGAAAAAATACTTATATGTTCCGCCATTTTAGCAGACACTGTGTTCCAGTTGCTCTGGTCAGAGGATAAACATGTTTATGACTCCCTTCAATTTTCAAAGGTCACTAGGAAATCCTTATTCCCACTGGGAGTGCGGGTCAGAAAAGGACCTGCTATGTCAGCACTAAAAATGGTTAGTGGTTCTTCCTCTATTATTTTAAGATGCTCAGGATGAACTTTCTTAAACCCATCCACCTCAACACATTGAAGACATGTTGACCATGTGTGTTGTAAGTGCAATCGCAGTTTCGGTAAGAGGATTTTATTGTGGAGACAATATCTTCCATCCATCCATCCATCCATCTTCTCCCGCTTATCCGTGGTCGGGTCGCGGGGGTAGCAGTTCCAGCAGAGAGCCCCAAACTTTCTTTTCCCTGGCGACATCAACCAGCTCTGACTGGGGGATCCCAAGGCGCTCCCAGGCCAGCGAAGAGATATAATCCCTCCACCTGGTCCTAGGTCTACCCCTTGGTCTCTTCCCAGCTGGACGTGCCTGGAACACCTCCCTAGGGAGGCGCCCAGGTGGCATCCTAACTAGGTGCCCGAACCACCTCAACTGGCTCCTTTCGACGCGAAGGAGGAGCGGCTCAACTCCGAGTCCCTCCCTGATGACCGAACTTCTC